GCTCGGATCATTGCTGAAGAGGGGCAGAAAGAGTGTAAAAATGGAAGGAAGGGGTAGAATATTGTCTTGGTTCATCTCGGTTTCCTTCAAGATGAAAACATCCCATCCTGCAGGAATCTCCTTAAGCAGGAAGGTAAACAGCTAAGCATAGCTTCAGGAAGTCCCTGAAACTGACCAGATTCTCTAGGCTCCACCCTGCCAGAGTAAGCAATAAAAGCTGAAACGCCACATACACACTCCCACTTCTGCTCAGATGAGTGGAGTTGAGCTGCGGAGAAGACTGAGATCAGACCAGCTGCCTAGAAGAAGTTTAGACTAACTGAGGTACCTGGAAAGGACACACTCCACTCCTGTCGAGCTATCTGCAGACTGTACAGTGTGCTCCAGGTTTCCAGCTTTGTGAGCTGTCACCCATGCTGGGGTGGGCCTTGGTGACACAGCTGTCTTTGAGTCATTCCTGCCCCTGTAGGTAATGCCTTGCCTGTAGGGTAAAATGTCTGAGCTCAGTTCCTGGCTTTGAAAATCCACCGGTCCCTGAGCTCGAAATCCCTGGAAAACCCTGCCCCCAAGAAACCCTGTATAAGACTGCCTCCCACTCAGTTCTCTGCAGCATCTGGCCCAAGCAGAGGCAGCCATCCTCTGTGTCTTTCCCAATAGATTGCTGGTGTGTAGTTGGTCGTGCAGGGTGACTTTGTGGTATTCCTTGGCCCCTGACTGCCAGGATCCCTTTCTCCTCAGTTCTGTAACACTTGTGCAGGGGATACCGTTCACTTTAGAGCTGCAGATTTACGTCACATGCCGCAGCCTTGGAGTCATCCCTGACCTGTAAGTGACCCCAGTCTGCTCATGGGTCACACGATGGACTTGGTGGTGTCTGTACATCCTTCTGCCGTGCAGTTCCTTTCTGGGGTCAGTAGGTGTGTGTTGTGGGTCTCCCCAGGGAAAGTTGTCACACAACACCTGTGTTCCCTGATGGTGTAGATGTATTCTGCATGTCCTAATGGTTCATGGAGCTTAGGAGCAGCTGCATGAGATGTGTGGGTTTAAGTTTGGTGGTTTTGTAAGATGGTCACTTCTTCATGTATAATTTGCTTGATAGGAAAACATCTTCAGAGAGCAACAGAATCTGTAAACTCAGAAAAAGGTTGGACTTCGGGGTTTCTTTTTTTTTTTTTCATTTATTTATTCATTATGTATACAGTGTTCTGCTGCATGTCAGAAGAGGGAACCAGACGGCATTATAGATGGTTGTGAGCCACCATGTGGTTGCTGGGAATTATTCAGAACCTCTGGAAGAAGAGCCAGTGCTCTTAACTGCTGAGCCATCTCTCCAGCCCCCTACTTCGGAGTTTCTTGAGTGTGACAACTCCTTTTGTGTTTAGAGTGGTGCCTCATTTGTTATCTGAAGACTCTACAGTCTAGCTAGGGCTCAGTCAACTTTCTGAAAAGGACCAGAAAGAAAATGTTGGTTTTGTATGTTACATATAATTCCGGTGAAATGTTCTTTGTGGGACTTTGGTTTCAGTCCATGTCTTGCCTGTCTACCCCAATCCCAAAAAGTCTTTCAATATAGGCCCTGACTGGCCTTGAACTCAGAGATCCACCTGCCTGCCTCTGCCTGAGTGCTGGGAATAAAGAGATCCACCACTATGCCCAGCCTGTTTTTTTTTTTTTGTTGTTGTTGTTGTTGTTTTTTTAATCCCTTTAAAATTTAAAACTGGGAGTTTGAGAGTTGGCTCAGTGGTTATAAGCACTGACTGCTCTTCCAGAGGACCCAGGCCTAATTCCCAATACCCACATGGTGGCTCATGTCAGTCCCAGTAACACCATCTTCTGGCCTCCATGGGCACCAGGCACATGCATAATACACAGATGTACATGTAGACACACACACACTCATGCACAAACCCTACACATAAAAATAAATTTAAAAAAATTAAATCATCTTTAGAGCAGGTCCCTACAAAAACAGGTCACAGGCCACATTTGTTCAGGGTGACCCCACCTCTACCGCAGAAGTTGGGAACCAAAGCCAAATCTGTCCAAGTAGAAAAGGAAGTATAGTTCAGTGTATTCTATTGAAAGGAAAGGAAAGGGGCGGTGGGCATCGGAAGGCTCAGCACCGTGAACATGAAGGTCCTGCACTAGGAAGAGAAGCAGTTGGGTTATTTTCAGAAAGTAAACACAGGTCACGTAGAGAAGACGAGAAATTGGTAGAGTGTTAGTTTTCAAAGGCTATGCTTGAAGCTGGAAAATAGTGGGGTGATGCTTCCACACTTGCCAGAATAAGTTATTTCTAAGCCAGGATTTTATTCTGGAAGAAAAAAAAAAAAACCAAGAATGAAATAGGGTGGTTTATGATAGAAGAGAAATAAATTGCCGGAATAATATAAAAAGGAGCGTCGCGGGACGGCACTGGCGGCTGCTGTCGGTCTTCACTGAGGGTTGCTGATGGTCTGTTGAACACTCAGTAGATACCAAGAAGCCTGAGCAACTGAGAGACAGTTACTCTAGGAAAAAGAAAGTGTAAGGTGTAAGGAAGGGAGATGGCTGACCTCTAGGCAACGTTCACGTGGTCTTAGTGAAAACAGTAGATATTAATTTAACCAGAAAATGGGCTTTAGCTCTTTTGTGGAAGGAAGGTTAAGGGAAAATGTACATTGATACAATGATCTGAAAATCAAAACTCACCATCTTGAACTTACAGTCATCAGATAATCTCGAGTACTAAAAGACGAATTAGTAATACTACAAACATGTTATCTAGAAACAGAAAAATACCTACAGAAACAGCAAATTAAGAACTTAGTAATTTTCTTGAATCTCTGGGAATGGGCAAGACTAGAAGAATGTGGCTAATGGTGATGTTTCTTACTTTAAAACCAAACCAAAGAGCCTTCTAACAGAATTTGAACCTGAAACCATGAGTTGGGCAGAGGTTTTTAAATGCTTGAAGAAGGAGGGAAGTAGGGTGGGGCTGAGATGCTGGAAAGCACACCTACAAAGAAGATAGAGTCGCCAGAAGGAAGGAAGTAGGGTAGGGCTGAGATGCTGGAAAGCACACCTACAAAGAGTCACCAGGAACGTGGCAGGAGTTAAGTCTGTGTGGAACAGGCCTTGGGAGAAAAGAACTGAAGTCTTAATTTAACAGAAGATGAATGGCAAGAAGACAGCCAAGTACGCTGGTGTTAGTGTTGAGGGTTGCGAACCCCACCCGGTAGACACTGGCTTCCCCGTGCGCGTCCTGCGGGCTCACCATGTCCCTTACTATGAAGTCCTCAGAAAGCACCTTTCGGGTAGATGCACATGCCCGTGCTGGTGTTGCCGTTGGGTGAAGAACATTGTTGATCCAGAAGCCTGGTCTATAAGAAGTGACCAGGGAGATGCCTAAGGAACTTAAGAAATGAACATTCTCTATCAGTCCCTGAACTCTAGGAAACACAAGCTGGTGAGATGGCTCGGCTGCCCATCAAGGTGCTTGCTGTACAGGGTTGTCAGAACCCATACCAGCAGAGAACCACCTCCACCTACCTGACATGGCATGCTTGCAACTGTGCACACCATCGTTTGCATGCAATAGTAACATGTTTCCTTTTTAAAAACAAGTGTTGATGATCAAAAGAATTCACATGAGCGCGTCAGCATTGCTGACTCGGCACAATCACAAAACATACTTAAAGCTGGTCTCCAGTATTCATGATGATTGTGAAGAATAGTGCTTAACAAGTTGATGAGTGTGGAAAGGTTAAAAGTGCTGTTCGTTAAATGACAAAGTGTGATAGACGTTCTCATATGTGACAGGTGGGTTTTAAGTGGGTTTTCCGTTTCCTCTAACAGCTCTCACCCTGCAGTGAGGGCTGTGTCTGTTGGGGTCTTTGCTGTTTTTTTGGGGAGTACCATAAACTGTCTTTTTTAAGTGGTTTTTACTTGGGGGTGGGTGGAAACAGCTGGCCGACGTCTGGCTCGCGCCTCTGTCTTGCTAAGTGCTACCATGTCACAGCCTTTTCCAATCCTGTTGGTTTTCCTCGTCCACCACGAGCACCAGGGGGTTAGAGACGCCCTTGCCTTTAAGCGGGAAGTATTCTTTTCTCCTTCACCTTCGCCTTCCTGCTCAAGCTGCTTCTTTGGAAGCAGGGTTAAAATGGATACGTTGTGGAGTGGGGACACAGGATGGGGCTTTACCAAGAGATGAGCCTGTTACTTGTAGAAATCAAGGGAGGGTTAGCAAGTAATATTGGGGAAATTACCGCTGAAATGTTTGGAACTGATTTTAAGGGTTTACACAAGTGCGATCTTGATTATTAAAACTTAATTTTAAAAAGTAACCTTTAGCCGGGCGGTGGTGGCGCACGCCTTTAATCCCAGCACTCGGGAGGCAGAGGCAGGCGGATCTCTGTGAGTTCGAGGCCAGCCTGGTCTCCAAAGCGAGTTCCAGGAAAGGCGCAAAACTACACAGAGAAACCCTGTCTCGAAAAACCAAAAAAAAAAAAAAAAGTAACCTTTAGATTACATTGGATGTGTGTTCACAAGTGTGTGCGTATGTCAAAAAACAACTTGCAGGACTCTGTCCTTTCCACCGTGTAGGGCCAGAGGACTGAACTCACACCAGCAAGGTTGGCAGCGAGCACCTTAATAACCCTAGTTAATAACCTTAATAACCAAAACCTGGTTATTGCAACTTTTGAAATTAAGTACCTATTTTCCCTTTAAATACCTGAGCTGTCTAGTTACTTGAGGTGAAGAGATGCAATCCAGTGTCATAACGAAATTCAGTTGTTGCCTGGGAAAAAAAGCAGACGTAGTTTGAGATAGCTTACTTCCTTTCAATTAACTTGACTTCTCTCTGAAAGGAAATGGAAAGTGTGGATTCTGCTGCCCAGAGTGTCTGTCGAGCCTCTTTGGGCGCGTGTAAGGCCAGTTCTTGACTGAGTTTCTGCGATATCCAGCTGCACAGGCCTCTCAGACTAACTTGTTTTTCTGTTTTCCGTTTGTTTCTTTAGCTCTTCTAATCAATGGATAAAGTAGGGAAAATGTGGAACAACTTGAAACACAGGTGCCAGGCTCTGTTCAACCATGAAGGAGGAAGCCGCAGTGAGAATGTGGACATGAGCTCCAGCAGGTGTCTGTCTGTCAAAGAGAAAACCATCAGCCTGGGAGAGACGGCTCCCCAGCAGCAGAGCAGTCCCTTAAGAGAAAACGTTGCCTTACAGCTGGGACTAAGCCCTTCGAAGACCTTTGCAAGACGAAACCAAAACTGCGCCGCTGAGATCCCTCAGGTGGTCGAAATAAGCATTGAGAAGGACAGTGACTCGTGCTCCGCCACCCCGGGAACAAGGCTTGCTCGAAGAGACTCCTACTCTCGACATGCCCCGTGGGGAGGGAAGAAGAAACATTCCTGTTCCACAAAGACCCAGAGTTCACTGGATACCGAGAAGAAGTTCGGTAGAACTCGAAGCGGCCTTCAGAGGCGAGAGCGGCGCTATGGAGTCAGCTCGGTGCACGATATGGACAGTGTTTCCAGCAGGGCGGTCGGGAGCCGCTCTCTGAGGCAGAGGCTCCAGGACACTGTGGGTTTGTGTTTCCCCATGAGAACTTACAGCAAGCAGTCAAAGCCTCTCTTTTCCAATAAAAGAAAAATTCACCTTTCTGAATTAATGCTAGAGAAATGCCCTTTTCCTGCTGGCTCAGATCTAGCCCAGAAGTGGCATTTGATTAAGCAGCATACGGCTCCCGTGAGCCCACATTCAGCGTTTTTTGATACGTTTGATCCCTCACTGGTGTCCACAGAAGATGAGGAAGATAGGCTCCGGGAGAGAAGACGCCTTAGTATCGAGGAAGGGGTGGACCCCCCTCCCAATGCACAAATACACACCTTTGAAGCCACTGCACAGGTCAACCCCTTGTGTAAACTGGGACCAAAGTTAGCCCCGGGGATGACGGAAATAAGTGGAGACGGTGCTGCGGCTCCACCAACGACTTGTGACTCGGAAGAGGATTCCACCACCCTGTGTCTGCAGTCGCGGAGGCCGAAGCAGCGCCAGGTGTCCGGGGACAGCCACTCACACGTGAGCAGACAGGGAGCCTGGAAGGTTCACACGCAGATCGATTACATACACTGCCTTGTGCCAGATTTGCTTCAGATCACAGGCAATCCCTGTTACTGGGGTGTGATGGACCGATACGAAGCAGAAGCCCTTCTGGAAGGGAAACCTGAAGGCACGTTTTTGCTCAGGGACTCTGCGCAGGAGGACTACCTCTTCTCCGTGAGCTTCCGCCGCTACAACAGATCCCTGCACGCCCGGATCGAACAGTGGAACCACAACTTCAGCTTTGATGCCCACGACCCCTGCGTGTTCCACTCCTCCACTGTCACGGGCCTTCTGGAACATTACAAAGACCCCAGCTCTTGCATGTTTTTTGAACCATTGCTTACGATATCACTGAACAGGACTTTTCCTTTCAGCCTGCAGTATATCTGCCGTGCGGTGATCTGCAGGTGCACCACGTATGACGGGATCGGTGGGCTCCCTCTGCCATCAGTGTTACAGGACTTTTTAAAAGAGTATCACTATAAACAGAAAGTTAGGGTTCGCTGGTTAGAGCGAGAACCAGTCAAGGCAAAGTAACCCCTGTCCCCCAAGAGCATTCCCAGGGTCTGCTCTCACGTGCATCAGACAGTACACCCATGGGAGGCACAGAGTCGGCTGCTAGGGTTTTCCACCCAGAATGTGAGCCTAGTCTTCAGCCTCTCTCCAGTGGGATCTTCTGTTGCACGGACAGAGGTGCCTAGAAACAGCAGAGGGTTTGCGGGTGTCCAGGGCCGGGGAAACACAGCTAGTTTCAGTGAGCAGTGTGGTTTGAGACGGCTGTGACGCCTGAGTGGGGCAGCTCTGGGGCGTTTGCTATGAAGAATTCTATTTCTTACTGAAGAACAAATTATTAATATTGGATGGGTATTTCAACAGTGTGACTAATGTTTGAAATTATTTTTTCTAAGAATTTTTCTATAACCTTCCAAAAGTAGTGATGTTTGTAGTTAACTATAAATCAAGCTTTGAAAGTCCAAAACAAATAAGAAAAGACTGCCTTCCTTTTCGAGAAAAAAAAAAAATGCAACTTTTCTGGCCACAGGGCATGTGCATTGTCGAGGTGGTTTATGGTCAGTCTCCTTTTCTCCTCAGAGAAAGAGACTCTGAAGTAAGCCAAGGTCTCTAAGATAGTTCTTCAAACTTCAGACGTAGAGTTAGTAGTAGAGTTGTGTTTCAAAGCCCTCAGTACTCATCTGGGATGAGCGTTGTGACTGCAGACAGGCGTGCAGTTGGAGTTCGAGTGGAATTGTTTTTCTAAGTTGACATGTGCAGTCCACACATTGTTTCATCAGAATTGGATCTTTTCCTGTGCCCTTGAGTTTGTGAACCCAGAGGGAAATGAGACTAGAAGATGCCCAGACACATCAGATAATAGTGACTACACTGGTTGCTGATGTTACGTTATGTTAAACTCTAATTAATCATTTGGACAGCAGTATTTATCTCTTTGTGTAAGCTCATAGCCGAATTACTTAAGTACAGTTTATAGCATTTTAGTGCAGTTAATTCTTCACAGAAAACCTACATTGCAGATTTAAAGGTACTGTACAACCATGATGTCTGTAAATAACGTTCCTTGGCACTTTCTTGTCACTTAGACTAGTACGTAATACAACTTGAGTGACCGCTTCGGGAAGTACCGGCAGTCTAGTGTTGCTCCTCAGTGTCGGACTGAGTTCTCGGCTCTGTCCTAGACATTTGCACTACAGTAGCCAAGTCCATTCTCATTGTCTGTCACTGTGCTCTGTGCCCGCTGGTGAGCGCTCCTGGGTCCACACCAGCTGCTGCAGAGGTTATTTTACAACCCTCTGGCTATTGCCAGGCTACTGAAAAGAAACGCTATATTTGTATGCAACACTAACCCGTTGACTGCTAACGTCTGCTTCTGCTTGCTGTGCCTTGTTCTGGCTGCTTTTTCGTGCTAATAAAGTATGTTTGGTGTTCGCCTTGTATATCTGCTGTTTTATACATTTGCCACAGTTTCTCTTGTACGTGGAATGGTGTGGGGTTTTTAAATAAGCATTATCTGGCAACTTACTGTAGTTAATGCAGATTCACCTACAACTTAATACTGACCTGCCAGGATAAGCTAAATCTAAATTGAATGCTCTCTAGCTTTCTAATCTTAATCACCTCCCGTGGAAGTGTCTGTAGTTAACTGCAAATTGGTGTACAGTTTACGACAGAAAACTCAGAAGTGAAACCCTGGTGATTTCTCTGTTGGTAGCAAAAGACCGACACAGGCGGTAACCCAGCAGATGAACATCAGAGCATCCAGCTGCATCCGAAACAGGTTATGTGAAGTCTGTGAACCAGGACACAGCACCACTTAGCGGTTTGGGGACCATTTTAATTGATGATAAATGCCCAAAATGTGGACCTTTAACCAAAGACTTGTCCATTTTAATGCAAAACGGGGATTGAAGGAACTTAGATTTTCTGTTATTTGTAGTAGAAGTCCCTGAGGAACATATACCAAAGTGGTTGAGAACTTCATCCAAACCTACTTTCAAAGCATAATGTGCAATTAAGTTGTTATGACGTAATTCTATTGCATAATTGTTGGGTCTGTTTTCTTGAGCTTCTAATGTACCTGGAAAGTAAACCAACCTCTTAAGGCAAAAGTCCATACTAAGTACTGGAGGAGGACGTTGGTGAGCAGGTGATGCTGTGAAGAGAACTCGAAACTCCCAGAAAGCACTTGATGTTTTTATATGCTTGTAGCAAATTGATGTTCTCACTATAGTTTTATAGAAAATATTAATGCTTTTATGTATTTCAGAACTTTTCCTGTGTTATTATGCAGATTGTTTTAAGTGTGTAACTTGAGTTTTGTGAGCATGTGTACACTGTGCTAAAAGGCACTTAATGTTTCAGTTTGTGTACAATATAAATATGCAACTTCGGGGTTCATTTTTTTTGTTAAAATATTAGCAGCTTACATTTAAAAAAAGAAAAATCACCATCATGAAAGTGCACTGGTCTTTCTTCCCTGTGTGTTTTTCTGAATCCTATCATAGCCTTTTGACTAAATTTGTGTCTTATGGTTTGGGGGTGGCGCATTTTATTCCAAACCAAGAAATGCTTCAGAAGTTGCAGTTCATTTTTACATCAAGGGGGTGGACATAATTACATTGCGGTGACATAATTACGTTGAGGGGGATGCTTTGGTTCGTGGCCTCATTCTTTCATTCACTTTCCCCTCCTTCCCACCCCCCTCCTCTCTCTGTTCCTCATTTTGTTCGTATATGCATTATACATACTTACATACACTATAATATGCATTATACATATGCATGTTTATTCACTGACGGGTGGTGATATTTTAAACAATGATACTGCCATCCCGTTTAAGATCATTTATTCTGCAGATACTGAGGAGGGTGGTACCATTCAGATTCTTATTATCTGCCCCTAAAGTTTGACCCTGGCTCTGTTACCTTATCTATAATACAGTGGCTTTACAGAGAGAGAATTTATCTGTATTTTATTTTCTGGCTTGAAGCAGTTAAAAAAACTTTTTTCAAGAAATAGTTGCTTTAAATACAACTATAAGTCAAATTATATTCTTGGATAAAATATTGAGTCCAAATCACCATCCTCCACAAACCAGTCTGTTCTTACATGCTTAGTCATTTTTATAAGGCTGACGGTGGCTGGGTAAAAACTGATACTAAATCCAAAGTTGAACCACCTTCACCGTTTTGATCTGATTGCTGTTCATTCTCATCTCAAAGCTGCTTTGCTTCCTGGCACTGCAACTAGCCTGATGATGTTTTTTTATTTAAGGCTGGCCCTAAATCTTTTATAGTAAATAGCAAAAATTGGCTTTTTGATAGAGGCTAAGCCTAGGAGTGAGTCAGAATCCTAAGACCCAGAGCAGATCCATCTTCCGAGAGTGTTCACTAAGACCAGTCACACAGGCTCATCCACTTACTCCATACTCCATCAAAAACAGTAAAAATGTGCACACAGGGCTGAGTTGAGCAGGAGAAGGGGAAACATTCGGTACCAGAGAACTGGGAATGGGGAGAGGGATGGGGATACCATCAATTTATAAGAGGCCTGGGTTTTCTCCTATTATAACAGCTGCCGTGGAAGATAGAATTCAAGAGGTATGTTCCAAGGAGTCATGAGTGAGATTTTTGTGGGAGGCGGTTGATTGGTGGCAGGCCGCGTGGGAGTGTCTACCATGACAAAGGTTTGCACCAGCTGAGGCAATTGTTTTCATGCCTAAGAGTATGGACTACATACTTGAGCCGTTCATTCATCAGTGTTCACCAAAGGCTCACGTACCAGTCGTAATGGGTAAACATCAGAATACAAGATAAAACTCCTGCCTTCGGGGCTTACTGCTTGTTAGCAGGGAAGGCAGTGAAGAAATGGTCTCAGAAACCGAGTGAGATAAGGCAGACGGTGCGAGGGGAGTGCTGGCATTTATAGGATTAATAACGTTGACTGATGGGAAAAAAAAAACACCAAGACTAAAAAAGCACCTAGGAGACAAAACAAAGCCCATATCCCCCAATAAAGCCAGAGTGAGTTTATATGCGGAGAAGGTACTCACAAAGTGGCTGGGAAAATGTAAGACATGAAGTTGGCAAGATGCCCATTTAGGACTGACTATATACTTAGAGTGAGGAGTTTAGGTTTTCTCCGGATGTGATGGATCCTGGGTAGGGGAGCCCCATGGTCTGCTTTCCATTGCTTTGGTGGATGGAGAACAGGTCCTGGAGCAAGATGAAGATGTTATTACTAGGTTTGACTGGGAGCCTGGGAGGGTTGGTGATCATGGCTACAAGTCAGGGTCCGGGTGTATTTTTGGTGGCAAAACTGACCAAATTTGGTGATGGTTGAATGTGCAGAAGAGAAGCAGGCCATGGTGGCACATTCCTGTCATCCCAACATTTGGGAGGTGGAGGCAGGAAGTTTTTGATGAGTTCGAGGCTTGCCAGTGCTCCATAGCAAGTCGGCAGACACTGAAAAAGGAAGTGACTCGGGTTTTTGACAGGAACAAGGATGAAGACGCCATTGGCTGAGACTTCAGAAAAGCAGGAACAAATTGGGCAGGGATCACATCTTGCCTTGCCTTAGCTGTGTACAATGTTGAGATTCCTGTGACCCCAGTGGAGACTTCGTGCACAGATGGTTACTTGAATGTAGTTTAGGGAAAACCATAAAAACACCGGGGAGGTAGTATCTAGGACCATAGGGCAAGGTGCAGCAGGGGTTTTCCATGGGATGAAGCGTTTCTCCGAGGGAAGTAATTAACAGAAACAGCTTCGTTTCTTGATAAAAGGTATCAGTTTATTGGGTTTTTCCCTTTAAAACCATATACCTTCAGTAGAGCCTTTGTTTTCAAAAAGTACAGTCAAGACTTGCATTGATTTTAACTCTATGTCAGGTTTGCTTATGTATCTACTTTACCACACATTTTTACAGTGTAAGTAAAAATTTTTATTGTGTAAGTCTGAACAAGCCAGGCATGGTGCATACCTTTAGTCCCAGCACTTGGGAGGCAGGGGCAAGCCTGTGATTGATCTCTGTGAGTTTGAGGCTAGCCTGGTCTACATAGAGAGTTCCAGGCCAGCCAGGACTACATAGTGTGATCGTGTCTCAAAGAAATTGAAAAAGAAAAAAAAAAAAAAAAACTAAACAAACCTGAAAGGTTCTGAACAGCTGTCCCCTTCCTATTTTTATAATCTTTCAGAGATACCCACAACATCCACGTGTTACACTCTCCCATCCATGGCTTCCTGGTGTTTTTAATGACCAAAAGGCTGAAGTTAATAAAGTATATGTGACATGGTAAATAGAAGATGAACAATTAGCTCCCGAGCCGCTCTTCAGAGCACTTGTACTCTGCTACACTACGCGTCAGCATCTTCTGTGGGTTTTAGGATTGTTTTTTGTTTTTGTTTTATTTTATGTGTATTGTATGCAGGGTGTCTTGCCTGCATGCATGTCTGTGCACCATGTGTGTACCTGGTACCTTTGGAAACCAGAAGAGCACTGGATTCACCAGGACTGGAGTTACAGATTAGCTATGAGCCACCAACCATGTGGGTGCTGGGAATTGAACTCAGGTCCTCTGGAAGAGCAGCCAGTGCTCTTAACCACTGAGCCATCTCTCCAGCCCTAAGTCTTAGGTTTTATGTCATTGTTAGGTCATGGGCAAGTCATTCAATGATTCTACTGTCTAGTTATGGAGGGGACTTTGGAATGTCGCCTCACGGAGAGTAGGATATGGATAAATATGATGAAAACTGAGGGAATACATGAGGTAAAAAGTAGTTACAAACTGAAGACTTGTGACAAGGAAAAACAAATTGCCCTGAGTGGAGGCAAGATGATGTCATTATTATGGGATTAGTCACTTTTGGAGGCACCAAGTTTTGCTTTTTTTCATGTTGTCCTTGTTTCTGGACTTGGATTTTCAGATCTAGAGTAGTTTGTTGGTTGACCGTTTGTCTTTTTGTTCAAATTCCTCTTCTTTCAGTAGAGGTGTTTCCAGTGTTAGGAAAGGACTAAGTCTTGGTGGGGTAGAGATGTCCCTTTTACCCTGTGGGGCTGATGTAGGAACTTCCCGGGTGGCATAGGTTTGCCAAGGTCCCGCTTGCTTCAGGAGCCTGTGTAAGGTTGGGCCCTGGAGCAGAATTCCCGGGAGCTGTAGTAGGCCTGGTCCAGGTAGCTGTGCTTGGTGGCTGGTGCATGGTTACCAGGCAATCTGTTTTTGTCATTTAACAACATAAATTTGTCATTATGTTGAATGTTTCCATCTTTGTGGAATGGGTGCAATTATGTACTTAAACAGAACCTTTATCCTGACTCTCTTTACAGGATAAATGGTTTTGCTTGTACTTATCTTAAAACTAAGTCATTTTTGAGACAGTTGAACTGTAATACTTTTAAAGTTTTATTATCTTACAAACATTTTGTGCCCGTAAGTATAATTGAGACAGTATTGAATTTTTAGTAACACCTGAAGAGTAAAGAAACATTTGGCTTACTAATTCTAACATTGGGAATTCATAAATCGTGCCATCGAAATACCGTCTCAGCTTCTAGCAATTTCTTTCCTGATAAGAGAGGTAAAAGTCTCAAATTATTTTCTAGAATTTGGCTGTCCTAAACTTAAAAATCTTTTGGGTAATCAGATAGTCTGAGAGTATCACTTATTAGTAATAGGATCAAAATAAGAATGAGAATCTAGGTTTGGTCTATAACCAATTCTCTTGGAAGCTGGCAGTGTTCAAGGATAGACCAAGCCTGGCCCAGCAAACCATATGTAACCTGACAGAGAGGCAGATCCTCATGTGACACGGAAGGTTTATCTGAGTTGCCTGTGTCTAATCCTCTCCTTGTCTTTCATACCTGGTTTAGAGGACCTAAGTCCAAGGTCACTGGGAATGCCAGAGACAGGCTTCAAACGTGAGTCTAGGCCAGAGACCAACCTCTGCTTTGTTACATACTTTGGAGGTTTTTTAATTTTTTAATTCAAATTTAGTACTTCTCCCCTTTGTCCTCTTCTATTATATCCCAAGATGACAATAGAGTTTTCAAAAGATGTATTTATTATGTATACCACCAGTGTTTTGCCTGCAGGCCAGAAGAGGGCACCAGATCTCATTATAGATAGTTGTGAGCCACTGTGCAGGTGCTGGGAATTGAACTCAGAACCTCTGGAAGAGCACCCAGTGCTCTTAACCTCCGAGCCATCTCTCCAGCCCAACAATAGTTGTTTGTTTTTTTTTTTTTAAATAACAGATAAAGTAGATTCTAAACCATCAAGAAACATGTCAAGAGGGCAAGCCATGACAGTCTTCGCTGATACTCTCCATGTTGTGGTTTGGAGTGCCCCTTCCAACTTCTCCCAGATTATCTGGCCCTGCTCTCCCCGTAACTGCTGCCCCGTTACCTCAGTCTTCCAAGTGACAGCACTCCAGAGCCTTCCTACCTCAAGGACTTGCCCCTCCTG